ATATCTGTCGAAAACCCTGAAACTTTGATATGATCTACTTCCCCAGAGAACTTTCAAAATAAAATAGATACCATTTTTTTCAAGGCAGTTTTTAGGTAAAAACCTGCCAAAGCTCAGAAAAAGAGTGAAATGATTTCTTGAATTATCTCTCAGCTTAAAATAACATGAACAACACATGTAAATTTATAATAAATTATAATAAATGTTAACTTATAATAAATTAAACTTTGCTAGTTATTTTTAATGTATCTTAACCACAAGCTTTAGGAACAAATAAAATACACAATGTTAATCAATGCTATTGATTGATGATGCTTATTCAAAACTTAAACATGTAGACAAGAAAATGAAATGCCCCTTAACTTTAAAATGAGCCATTATTCAGTGACAATAACAATGGTAACAACATTGAGCTTTTACAGATTGGATTATAACCAAGTGGACGTTAAGAACCTTAAGAACAACATCAAACATCTAAAGCTCAAAATATGGCTGCCGAAATTTAGATAAATTCAACTGGTAATATCCAACTGGTAGATGACAAATCCTATGAACCAAGCTTTGCATTTTATTACCATTATGTACATAGTAAAATTAGACCATAAAAGTACCATCCTTTTTTTCCCAAAAGTTTGTACAATATTACCAACAATCCAATTTGTGCCTGTACTCTTTTTCCGCCTCTTTGTTCTCTTTCATAGACAAGTGACTGCATTCATAGGAGTAGTTATTTTCAGACTATAATTATAGCTGGTCTGTCAAGTGGACCAACTGGTTGGATAGTCTGACATCTCTTATGTTTCCATGAAGTCCATTCTACTTGTTTCCTTCTAGAGTTTCCAAGCCTCCCTAACTGCTGGGCTGACACCCAGCTCTGCTGGTGCAGGTGGAATGAGGAAGGCCTGTCCAGAGACCTTAGGAGACCTTGCAAATGGACAGAAAATCAAAAGCTTTTATGTTTGAAAGTCTGTTTGGCCAAATGATATAACTCAAGTCTGGCATGAATTTATTTCTAGGAGATACAAACAAATTCTAAACATGACCCTTCAGCTGTTTCTGAGACTATTTTCAAAAAAGTAAATTTTGTCATTATTGTTACTTGATATTAAGGCCTGTCAGTCTCAACAAGAGCATAATCAATAGCTTAATCAAAAACTGTATATGTTCAATTTTTTTTTTTTTTTTAGAGAGGGAGAGCAGGGGAAGGGGCAGAGGGAAAGGGAGATAGAGAATCTCAAGCAGGCTCTATGCTGAGTGTGGAGCCCAACGTGGGGCTCAATCTCACAACCCTGAGATCATGACCTGAGCCAAAATCAAGAGTCAGATGCTTAACTGACTGAGCCATCCAGGTGCCCCTGGTCAGACAATTTTTATACAAATACTATGAACTGGTAAAAATGTAAACTGGAGAATTTTATGGCAAGGAAATGAAGCATTATTTATTTTCAAATAACCAAAACAAATGGCTAAGATCACATGTTCCTAAATTAAGAAAAAAAGACTGCCTAATAATGAGCAGATTTCATGCACCTTGATTCTAATAGGTATTAAAAGCCATTAATGAGTCTTAATAGATTAAACAGTCCTCTACACCTCATTTCTATAATTTGCTTTATGAGAATTTTTTTCAATAAAGAAAAAAAGGAACAAGGATTAGTCTTGCACTACCCAAATGACCATGAATCACAGAACCCAAGGTACAACTTTATGAGGTTCACTAATCAGAATTTTCTGGTGGTAGGACTCCTATAGTCGTATCCAATCCAACTCCTCATTTTACAGATAAGGAAACTGAGGCCTAGAAAATTAAAGTGACTTACTTATTCCCATATAATAAGGCTAGCCAGTAAGCAGATCTTAACTCTGCTCCCACCTCTTATTAGAAGAGTTCCCAGTGCAGATAAATCAACCTATCCCAAGACACCCTCCTAGAAAAGATGCTTACAATTAGTTGGTTTTGATTATAGAACACACAAGCCTCTTTTGGTTTTGTTTTCTATTTAACAAGCACAAAAGATGTCCTTACTACCCACAGATAACTGAGGGAGAAATGAGAAGACCAATGGGTTTAATATAAAAAGTCAACATGAAATCCTTGTGCTGATACTGGAGGATGCTTGTTTTTCCAACAAACAGGCATGGGGCATGCTGCCTAAGAGTGAAATGTAAGCAAAGCCTTGACTCTCCCACTAAGGATTTCTCTGCATTGTTCAAGAGACATACACTTGCCAGACACACAGGTGTGACAGGAAAAGGCTTCCAGGTAAACCTTGTTTAAGCGAGGCAAGGCCTAAGTCAAGTCCATGTTTATCTTCTCAGAAAGAAAAAGGGAGAAAGGAGGGTCATTTCCCTGGCACACCTCAAAAATAGAGTCCTGAATCAAAAAGACTTGACACACTAAACAAGATCATTTGCTAGTTTGTTAATAAAGACCAATATGGAAAAGGGGGTGGAAGGAGTCTATAAAACCAATTAAAAAGAGCTTGTCAAGTTTTGCTATTATATATATGACAGCCCTTAACTCTTCTGACAAGTTTGGAAAATAGGCCTTATTATGTCTACTTAAGAAGAAACACAAATAGGAAGCATTATAGAATTTTAAGCAGGGAAGTGATAGGTCAGGTTTGAGTTTTTACAAAGAAGAGGAAGAAATCCAATAAAGGGTGCCTGTTTAGAGTGTGAGTTAGGCCTAAATAAGCTCTGAAGTCTTCTCCATCACCAAGATCCTGTCTCTTGACATGTCTAAGAAGACTCCTTACGTCTACTTAAAAAGCAGCTGAGGTGACATGGACAAGGTTCCCCAGCTACTAAGTGGTGAAGTTGGAGTTACAACCCAAGGTCCCATTCTCCCACTTCTGCTTTACAGCACACAGCCTCCAGAGGGTCACAGTTAGGGAGACTGAAACTGTCCTTCCAGGTTCACCTGTGAGCCCTTCTTCTAGTTCTCAATTCCACAATCAGAAAAAGAATTGACACAAAACAGAAGATATAGTTCCTGCATAGGAAAAATTGCTACAGGTAACCATTTTTTATATCATCATCCTTTCCCAATGAAACACAAATATCAGCCAATAATGGATGAGCATATCCTTTACAGGGAGCAGTACCAGGAAACAGGGCTACACTGCATTTAACTTGCTCTTCCTGTGACTTCTAAGTCATCCCATTGTTGTATAGGTGTGCATGTTTCAGAAACTTCATGTGAGAATTCAACCAAAGCCTGAAATAGACTGAGAGAAGGAGAAGTTTCTGGGTTTAACTACAATGCAAACTGGAATCCTCTGGACATTTCAGGCTACAGTAGGTCTGTCACAGACTGCATACTCTGCAGCAACTTCAGCCTGTAGGTAATTTGAGCAAGGACATTCTCCTCTCTTCTGCGGATTTAGTCACCTCATCTCTTACCCAAGATAATCATTCGGAGGTGCTCCATTCACAATCCCCCCACTTATACTAGTGTAACTTTCCATGATCTCATCTACCTGGGGCACTGCCAGGAATCAGAAAGTAAGCAAGAGAGGGTGGTGGGAGGCCAAAATAAGCACCCTACTGTTTATTCAATTCAACCCAGGAAGAATTTATTGGGAGTACACTATTCATCAGGCACTGTGGCCTGATGCTGGGGCTAATGGTGATGATGCTAGGGATGATAAAAATAATAATTATAGTGGTAGCCATCATATACTGAATGCCTACCATGTGCCAGGCACTGCAATAAACCCTTAAACAACCTGAGGTAGCTCCTATTGTCATCTATACTTTTGTAATAGGGAAATTGAGGCATGAAGTGGTTAATTAAGTAACTTGCCCAGAGTCACAGCTAGTAAATAGTAGATGCAAACCAGACAGTCTCGCTTCTGAGTCTATACCACTAGCCGCTACCCTACACTGCACTCTAAATATGAGTGGGGATAAGGGATATAGGTCAGTAAGACTATTCCAACCCCAGAACCTATAGCTCAATTGGGAAGACAGGCAAATAAACCTTGGAGGAGCACATAAACCAACACAGGGCTCAGGGAAGGCTCCTGGCAATAGATACTCTGTCAGATGAATTCAGGTAGGAGCTAACCAGAGGGAGAGAGGGGGTCTGGGGCACACCCCAGGGGAGAGAGGAAGCTCTCTGCAGGTAGAGGTCTGGCATTCATTGAGACAAGGAACACTGTAAGAGGAGCAGGTTTCAGATATGGAGAAGGATCCATCCCCAGATAAGTCTCAGGCACCCGGCTCAGTGGAAATATATCTAATGAAGAAATCTAACTTCTTTCTGTAAGGATTGTTAACAACAATAAGGTTTTGATCTGTCTTTCCAACCTATGAGTGATTAGAAACTGAATATTCAGGGGAAAGGCTCTGTGCTCAGGAAACAAGTAGGATGACAGAAGGAAAGGAGAAGATGGAAAAAATAATAAAAAGAGACACTCTGGTAATACAAAGACTATAGCAAAGGGCCCTTTCCCATCTCAACAGAGTAATCACAGCACACTGCAAGAACAGGTAATAAGATTAACCTAATCATCAAGAAAAGGTTAATTTGTGCTCTGTATGCTGTTTTAATAAGCAGGGAAATAGGAAATGGATTTTAGAAAGGGACTAATAGAAATAGTTCAAATAAAAAGTTGTGTTGCAAGAGCCTCTGGGATTTAGAAAATTCACTTATTGTGGAAGAAACCTCATTCACCAACATGATGGATAAAACATGTACCAAAGCCCCTCTTTTCAGAAGAGACATGCTTCGGTGATCAACGCAGGCTTCCATCAAGATAAGCCTTCCTCCCTCAAAGCCAGCATGCTATGTTCCCCCTTGTCACCTTTAGAAGGTCTAACTGCTCTATGATTGCTGGAGAGTTTTAGGGTTGATTTTGCTCAAAGTGACATTAAGCTGGCTCTCATTTTAAGGCCATATACGGCTCCCCTGGTAATTACTTCAAAAATTCTGATAGAAAAGAAGAAAACCATTGCCAGGCACAGAATTAATCAGTGTAAAATACATTCCTTACCTGTCCCTTATTACGACTTCACCGCAGGACTGGCAATAAAATGTGCAACATCCTTGGGCTTGTGAGCTTTGATTAAACATTGAAATCAGCTCTAAAGAGAAATCGATGAAAGAGCAAATCTCAGAAGTGTGGGACAAATATATTAACATAAAGAGTTTAACAGCCACAATAAATTACTATCAATAAACACTGTTTACGATCCACCCAGAAGTACACATTTAATTAGCTTTATCTGATGACTCAACGAGAAGCAAATATTGTGACGTGTTCTCAAAAACAACAGATTGTGCTAAGTGTTTCAGAGCTAGGTATGGCCCTAGATTATCCCTGCAACATACCACTGAGTTATTTCACTCATTCCATAAATACCAACATTAAGGAAGAAGAAAGAGGGCGATTGCTTTCACATCAAGCTCACTACAGGGGGCCTCACCATCCTCGGCCTTCCTCGGCGGCTATGTTCTCCGTCCAGTTTTCATCAGTGTGACTGCTGCTTCTATCCCTCAAATTTAAGTTTAATTTAATTTAAACAAAGTCTATGTCCACTCTGGCCTATTACCAGTACATAAAACAAGAATCATCTTGAAACTGGTCTTTATTGGACAGGTTCCTGGGAATGGAATGGCTCCTAAGAAGAATTCAATCTTCTAAGAGCAAAACTCAATTTCTGATTAAAGTTGTGGAAAAATGTTATTTCCCACATTATATGAAGCACAGCATTTCCTTAGTTTCCATTATTTTATTCATGAAGAAAAGAAACTTTCATTTCAAAAAAAACTCCCCCAAAACAAAAAATCCACACACAAAAATATCTGTCTGTAAAAAAAAAAAAAAAAAACCTTAAAGAAATGAGGTCATACTCATTAGAATCAAGGAATTTGAATTTGGTTTATGTTACTTTATACATATGTTAAGATTTTAAAGACTGATAGTAGAAAGTTTAAGCCTTGGCAATTAAAAATTCATCCTTTTAATTTCTAGGGGTATCTGCCAATCCCTGTAGCACTAAGATGAAATAAACAGTATTCCTTAATTTTGAGCAGATAATAAGTAGACCTGGGTTAAGTCACCCAAACATTCTTTTCCAAACCAATAAACAAACTTTCAGAGAAACACTCCCCCCTGCTGGTCACCCAGCATGATCAAGTTCAAGTCAGAATTCCAGACAAGGTGGCATCATGGGAGAGTACTGCCCCCTGCGGATGAGTCTAATGCTGGTGCTGTCTCAGACTTTACTGTAGCCATGTCCATGTCAAGGGTCATGATCTGACCTATGTTACATTCAGAACAGCATAATAGGCTTACTGTAGTCCTTAAAAGAACATTTATAGTTGAAAAGTCAACTTCTTAAAAAACCTCAAAATACCATTGAATGCTAAAAATGTCAAGTCGCTTCCTACACTACATTTTGATTCAAGTCAGCATCAGTATGCATCAATCCAGTATTTATTCATTCAGCAAATATTTACTCACCACCTATTATGTGGAAAGCACTAAAGTTATTAAATACTGAGATCTATTTTGCATACCCTTTCATGCACTGCAGAACAGGGCTTTGAAAGTCTTCCTTTTCAGATATTTGAGTAAAATGTTTTAAAAAATGTAAAGCCACAGCAGACCAGTGGAATGCAAGCAATATGCAAACCAACATTTCAGCAGTCAACTTATTGTGTCCTACAGTTACAATGAAACAATCATGCTTGCTGATTTAAATTTTCTTTACTAGTTCAAGTTTTGCTATTTATTAACCGTTACAGAAGACGGGCAGGCGACAAACCAACTGTGTCTCTAGAAGGCTTCCATACCACCTCCCCAGTATGGGACCTAAAATCCAAATCCAGAAAACTGGCAGATCTGAAAGTACCCCAGTGTGGCTTTCGTGCCCACCTTTGCCCAGTTTCCATTGTCAGTCTATTTCCCATCTTGGTGACCCCATTCTTCTTTCCATGGTTATTACAGTAGTCATTCTTAGCATGTGGCTACGTCACTTCAGCTCCATGACATTTCGGTTCCTTACGCCTTGTTCCTAAATCCAACTCTGCCCAACTCAAGACTAGTTATTCACTAATTTAGGACTTGAGCAAAAATTACTCGACAATGAATAAAGCAGCAAGAACTCAGGGGAATGCTCCACATCTCCTACATGGCTCTTCAAAACCATCCTGCTGACCCCACCTCGAGGCTCCACACAGCTCAAATGAAAGGCTTAGTATAGATGCGGCAGCCACAAAGTCTCGGGGTGCAGTTGAAAAAATCATAATCCTCTCCTGATAATGAGCATCTCACAGGTCTGTTACAGCCTGTTCCCCTTTCACATCATTTTTCATCCTGTGAAGCACATTACTTACATGTGAAGAGATGCAATGAGCCAATAATTTTATTCAATAAGTTATTCTGAGAAACATTTCTACCATCTTACTGAATCAATGTGGCAATAACAAAATACTAGAAATGTAACAGGCATACCAATAATCAAAATCAAATTATGCATCAAACTCAATTTCAGGATCTGTATATATACTGTTCTATTTGGAAACGTCTCTACATGGATTGGATCATTTCCATCATTCGGTTCTCTGGGCACATATTACCCCTCCTCAGAGGGAAGCCTTCCCTGAGCACCTTTCACACTAGTCACTCCTTATCCCATTACTCTGCTCCTCTTTGACCACAGCACTTTCCTCTGTATCCAAGCAACTTATTTGTTCATTATCTGTTCCCACCCACGAGAACATAAGCTCCCTAAAGGCAGAGGCCTTCCTAGCCTGTTCACTTCGGTATCCCTAGCACCTAGATCAAAGCCTAACACACAGTGTAGGGCGGTGTTTGTTGAATGGATGAATTTCTATGTAATGCTTTAAAATCCACCAGGTCTTGCACAAATGCCATCTGATTTCATCTTCCTATCAACCCTGTGAGCTGGGTAATTTTACAGTTAAAGAAACAAAGCAGGGGTTATATGGGAAATCTCTGCCTTCTGCTAATTTTGCTGTGAACCTAAAACTGCTCTAAAAAATAAAATCTACTAGGAGGAAAAAAAAACAACACTAACTGCTTCACCCCCCCCAACCCTGCCCCCCAGCCTTCAGAACAAAGTTCCAGAAAGGTTAAGTGGCATGCTCAACTGCACAGCTAAGTGGCAGAGCTGACGAAGAACCTTCTGACCAGCTCTTTCCATGTTGCTGCTGAACAGTCTTTTTCACCTGGGAAAAGGTCAACTTTTCAAAGGAAAAATCACCTTTGATCTACAATGAAAAACTAAATGCAGGAGCAGGAGCACTGGGATCACTCACTGGTGTTGTCGGGTTCTGCCCGCACCTGCAGCCGCAGGTGCAGTCCATCTCCCGGGACGTACCGCAGCCCGCGGCAGGAGGAAGGCACGAGCCTGACCTCTGCTGGAAGCCGGAGCTCTGTGCAGCCTTCCGGGGTCTTCACCTGGAGTGAGGAGGGCGCTAGAGAAATATCCATGGGCATACCTCCTTCTTTAGGCTCCCTGGTGATTAAAAACAAAACACACAAAAAAATTACCTCTCATTGATGAAAACCACATGATCAAACAGGCAAAAATGGCCAAGGATCTCTCTGTTCCTCTTCAATAAATGGTCTAAAGTCACTGTCCCCCCCAAAAAATAGCAGTGAATAGATCAAAAAGGAAATCATTCTATGTAAGATTTAGATCAGGTCAGAGAATACTTTTCACTGTCACCGTAACATGAAAGTTTTGGAACATATTTTTTATTCTTGGCTTTTTTTATGGCAATGATGCATTTTTATTTTATTTTTTTACTTTTTAAATTTTTTAGACTTTTATTTATTTATTTATTTATTTGACAGAGAGAGAGAGACAGCGAGAGAGGGAACACAAGCAAGGGGAGTGGGAGAGGGGGAAGCAGGCTTCCCGCTGAGCAGGGAGCCCGATGAGGAGCTCAATCCCAGGACCCTGGGATCATGACCTGAGCCGAAGGCAGACGCTTAACGACTGAGCCACCCAGGCTCCCCCAATGATGCATTTTTAAATGTGTACTTTTCCCCATTGCTAATAATGATCCTGAGCCCCAATTCTCTATCCTAATGCTTCCTGCAGCTACTCCAACCTGGACCATCCTGGGGTTGCTCCCAGAGCCATTCTGCTCACACAGCCCACCTTCCATTTCCTAAAGCCCCCTACTTCCTCCCACACATCTCCCCAACTTCAGGTTCTTTGAATCAGCACAATCTAATGCTGGCCTGTCGTACATCATGCACTTGTTCTTTAAAATATTTTGGCAAGAGGACTCAAGGCAGCATAAGACAGGGGCTTATTCATCTTTGCATCCCTCGACCCTAGCATGGTTTGTACATTCATTCACTCTCTCTCTCATTCATTCAATATAGCTTTTCTGAGTTCTGTAATGTGTCAGGTACTGGGACTACAACCATAAACAAGATACCTTCTCGGCCCCTCACCCCCCACCCCAAGTAGGACACAGGCACATAAACAGGAATGATCAAGGGAGCATTAAAACAACATTGTACTGGCCGGGCAGGGGCTGGGAGCAGCAGGCCACACTGGGAGGGGGTGGGCAGCCCACCACCCCCAGGACAGGTTCCTCATAATCCAGAACTACAGGACCACCATCTTCACGGACACCAAGGAGTGGAGCACCATGTTCAGGCTGAAATGCATCCTCCAGGGCATCCTCAAGCGGCTGCCCGATGAGCAGCAGCTGTACAAGGATGACCAGCTTCTGGATGACGGCAAGACAGTGGGAGAGTGTGGCTTCATCAGTTGGACAGTGTGGCCGCAGGCCCCAGCTACTGCGGGCCTGGCCTCCTGAGCAGCTCTCCCCATTCACATGAATGGTTCAAGGCCCTGTGCACGAAGTCCTTCTCCAGCCTTCCTGAGCTGCCTACTGTGACGAAGCCACAGGACTCAGGAAGCAGCGCCAATGAACATGCGGCGCAGTAGGGGTGTCCCGGGCCCACCCCCAGTGCCCAGCCCCTCTAAAAGAGATATGACAGTCAAAAAAACACAAAAAAACAAAAACTACACATTGTACTTGTTCATGATAAATAGAGAATACTATGGAAACACACCGAGGGCTGCAGTGACTATCACAGGTCAAGCACTGCTATTTGAACAGTAAATGGATGAGCCAGGGAAATATTCTTGCTTCTGAGATAGCATTACAATGATGCTGTATTTTACTTACAATAAGTATTGTCATTTGATATACAGATTTTGATAAGGAGACCAGGATTACACAAAACAAAAAGAACAGAAGAAAAACACTTCTTGCCAATTTTAAATTAAAAAAAAATAAGGGCGCCTGGGTGGCTCAGTTGGTTAAGCGACTGCCTTCGGCTCAGGTCATGATCCTGGAGTCCCAGGATTGAGTCCCACATCAGGCTCCCTGCTCACCAGGAGTGTGCTTCTCCCTCTGACCCTCTTGCTTCTCGTGCTATCTCTCATTCTCTCTCTCTCAAATAAATAAAATCTTTAAAAGATTTAAAAAAAAATAAAACAATCTAGTGATGTATGAATACCAGATATGAAAGAACTGGCCAGTCTAATTCACTACAAACACAAATCTCTTGGTATAAGCAATCGAGAGTAAAACACAGTCCATTCCCTGTCCACCAGACACCAGAAGTACAGCAGGGGATAAAGACATAGAGAAACGATCCTCATATGAAGCTAAAATACGCTTAGCATTGAAACAGAGGTGCTGCGCACTCTGACTCCCTTTTAAGTGCAGACAGCAGGGACAGGCCAGCAACTTGGAATCACCTAAGTACAGAAGGCAGGCCATCTACCTGAGTATTATCTAAGTACAGAGATCTTACCATGTATTCAGGGGTGAATCTTGATTAGGCCTCTTAACTTCCCTTAGAAAATCTTAAGATTACTTTCTGGCTAGTTCCTTTTCAAAGCATATGGACCTGAACTTAACTGGCAAGAACCTGAGTCTTTTCCAAGGAATAGATCCTCAATCTCTTGAGTCAAAAGTTATTATTTTTTTTTTTAGAGAGAGAGGGAGAACATGAGAGGGCATGGGCAGGGGGGAGGGGCAGAGAGAGAGGGAGAGAAACAGAATCTTAAGCAGGCTCCATGCTCAGTGCAGTGCCAGATGTGGGGCTTGATCTCATGACCCTGAGATCATGACAGGAGCTGAGATCAAGAGCTAGACACTTAACGGACTGAGCTACCCAAGTGCTCCAGAGTCAAAAGTCTAGTTTTAAGAAATGATGTTTAAGAAATAATAATCCTGAGGGCGCCTGGGTGGCTCAGTCATTAAGCGTCTGCCTTCAGCTCAGGCCATGGTCCCAGGGTCCTGGGATCAAGCCCCCAATTAGGCTCCCTGCTCTGCAGGAAGCCTGCTTCTTCCTCTCCCACTCCCCCTGCTTGTGTTCCCTCTCTCGCTGTGTCTCTCTCTGTCAAATAAATAAATAAAATCTTTAAAAAAAAAAAAAAAAAATAATAATCCTCTAAAGAAGAGGTCAGAAGTGGGTGATAGACATTGGGGAGGGTATGTGCTATGGTGAGCGCTGTGAATTGTGCAAGACTGTTGAATCACAGATCTGTACATCTGAAACAAATAATGCAATATACGTTAAGAAAAAAAAAGAAGAAGATAGCAGGAGGGGAAGAATGAAGGGGGGGAAATCAGAGGGGGAGATGAACCATGAGAGACGATGGACTCTGAAAAACAAATTGAGGGTTCTAGAGGGGAGGGGAGTGGGGGGATGGGTTAGCCTGGTGATGGGTATTAAAGAGGGCACGTTCTGCGTGGAGCACTGGGTGTTATGCACAAACAATGAATCATGGAACACTACATCAAAAACTAATGATGTAATGTATGGTGATTAACATAACAATAAAAAAATTTAAAGAAAGAAAAAAAAAAGAAGAGGTCAGAAGGACCAGATGGCATATATTTCAGGTTTTGCAGGCCATATATGGTCTGTTGCACATTATACTGTGTATTTTGTTTTTAACAATGCTTAAATTATGTAAAATCCATTCTTAACTCATAAACTGTACCAAAACACGCCACAGGTTAGATTTGACCCATGGGCCATAGTTTGCTGAACACTGCTCTAAAGATACACAATTTGTCCATTTTGCTACTTCACTTATTTTCAAAAACTGGACTGTGCCGTTGGCACTAGAAGTGCCTCAAGGGATATTACTGCGTTTCTAAGCCTCTGCCCCACCCCATCTCTGGCTTACCACTCTTCTTCCCCTTCTCGAAAAATTCAGCCAATTAGAGGGCTGAGTAAGGTAGGAGGCATGGATGCAAGTGTGGGAGAACCACAGTGGCCTGGGGTAGAGGTGAGACACCCAGCAGAATGAGGAAGGAGGGCATCCACCAGGAGAGCCACCCCAAAGCGATGTCAGATCTCAAGAGGGATGAGGAGAAATCTAAGAGGGGAGTGGGGTGTGGCAACTCAGCATAGGGTTCCAGAGCCTGCCTCAGACTGCTCAGGCTGCTATAACAAAACACCATAGACTGGGGGGCTTAAACAACACAATTTCCTATAGTTCTGATGGCTGAGAAATACAAGATCAAGATGCCGGGGAATTTGGCGCTTGTTGAGAGCCCTCTACCAGGCTTGCAGATGGCCACGTACCCTCATATTGCAAAGAGAAGCAGCTTTGGTATTTCGTCTTATAAGGGCACTAATCTCATCATGGTGGCTCCACCCTCATGACCTCATCTAAACCCAATTATCTCCCAAAGTCCCCATTTCCTAATACCATCATATTGAGGGTTAGGGTTTCAACACAAAACACAAAAATTCATTCCGTAACAGAGCCCAGGCAGATGAGGAAGGTGTCAACACTGAGTGGGGAGGGGGAGGGAAGCAGCAAAGGATGCCAGCATGAGATTATTTACATAGAGGGGAAATGACCAAATAAATGTATGTCATGAAAATAATGAAAGCCAGGATTCTCACTGTGGGAGAAAAGAGTTACAAAGAGGACAAGGGAAAAAATCAGAATGGATCCTATGGCAGTAGACTAGAATTGAAAATACCTGTGTGGAGTCATGGTCTTCAATGCATACAGAGATACAGTAATACAGATATATATGTGTGTAGAAGGATGTATGATACACGAACACAAATACACATGCATACATTCATACATAAACATGTTACAGGTCACATACACACCACAGTTTTGTGCACTAGGGCCTGGAAAAAGTGACACATCAATAGTAATGAGGATACTTTGTGCTCAGATTTTGGTTTCTAAGGGTCATTTTCCACTTTACATTTTTTTTTTAAAGTATATTTGAGAGAGAGAGAAAGAGAGAGAGCACACACGCATGTGTGCGCAAGCTGGGGGAAGGGGCAGAGAGGAAGAATCTTAAGCAGACTCCATGCTGAGCAGGGAGCCCAATGCAAGGCTCAATCCCCTATATAGTGACCTGATCCAAAATCAAGAGTCGGACGCTTAACCAACTATGCCACCCAGGTGCCCTAGTGATTTTCCACTTTAAAACA